ACACCCCCCCCTCAAGTGGGAATGTGAGGGTTGATGCACATTCCCAACTTGCAGATGAAGCGATAGAAATCCACACGGCCGAGAGATTTGGTAAAAACATCAGCAGGCTGCAGAGAAGACACAATGTGACGCGGCAAAAGAAAAACATCCTTGTAAAGGTTGCGCACCACATGGCAGTCAATGTCGAGGTGCTTCGTTCTCTCGTAGAAAACAGGATTGGCAGCAATATGAAGTGCAGCCTTGTTGTCACACCATAAAGCAATGGGAAGCTGCAAAGAGAGAGAGAGGTCTGTACCAAGGAAGGACAGCCATTGAAGCTCACAAGCAGTTGTAGCCATAGATCTATATTCAGCTTCGGCCGAGGAACGTGACACTGTTTTCTGCTTTTTAGTTTTCCAGGAGATTAAAGCTTGGCCAAGGAAAATGCAATACCTAGTCAGTGATTTTCTGGACAAAGTGCAGCTGCCCCAGTCAGCATCACAATAAGCTTCAAGCTTTGTAGAAGGAGCAGCTGTCTAATATAGCCCCAATGCAGGAGTACCTTTGAGATACTTCACCAAATGTACAGCAGCATTCCAATGTGCCTGTGTGGGGTGATGAACAAACAGGCTGAGTTGCTGTATACCATAAGATACATCTGGCCTGGACAAATTTAGATAAAGAAGTCTCCCAATGAGTCTTCTGTAAGTAGAAGAATCACAAAGTGGGTGTGCATCTTGAGAGGATAAGTTGAGTCCAGGTGGTAGAGGAGTTAAAGCTGCTTTGCAATCAATCAGGCCAAGATCATGAACAATGTCAAGGATATACTTCTTTTGACTTAGATAAGTACCTGTCTCAGTCTTGCAGATCTCCAAACCCAAAAAATATCTTGCTTGCCCTAGGTCTTTGATGGTAAAAAGAGTATGCAAATATCTCTTGAGATCCTCAATGGCAGCCAATGAATTTCCTGTGATCAGCACATCATCTACATAGATGAGCAATGCAAGGGTATAAGATTCTGAATGCTTGATGAATAAGCAGTGATCATGTGATGACTGGATAAAGCCATAGTGAAGAAGCTTCTCTGAAAACTCTATATTCCATTGCTTAGATGTCTGTTTCAACCCATATAAGCTTCTCTTCAACAGACATACTTCTCCTTGCTTAGCCTTATTATATCCTTTGGGAGGCATCATGTAAACTTCTTCTTCCAGGAATCCATGAAGAAAAGCATTGTTGATATCAATATGATGAAGTTCCCAAGTTTGCTGTGTAGCCAGAGCAATGAGAAGCCTTACTGAAACTAATTTTGCTACAGGAGAAAAGCTGTCAAAAAAATCCACACCTTCCTTTTGGAGGTAACTTTTGGCTACCAACCGAGCTTTAAGTTTATCTATGCTTCCATTAGGGTTCCTTTTGATCTTATAAACCCAATTTGAGCCAATGGCTTTCTTGCCATGTGGTAATTTTATGAGTTCCCAAGTGTTATTAATCTCAAGTGCCTGTAGCTCTTTATTCATAGCTTCCACCCACCTATCATCTTTCATGGCTTGCTCATAAAACAAGGGTTCTTAGGCTGATTTATCAATTTCAGTGAAAAATAAGGTGGTTTCTTCTCTGTCATCATCTGAGGAAAAACCATCCACCACATAGTCTGCCAGCCAACCAGGATTCTTCTTCACCCTTTCACTTCTGTTTAATAATGGAGGATTAACTGTTTCAGAATCTTTGTCTTGGTTATAAACAACCTCTGTGTGATCATTGTTGCTGTGTGTCTCTAAGTTCTGAGAAGTATCTTCTGGATCATCTGAAACAATAAGGGGAGGCATGTTTTGTTCAACCAACTCAGTTTCCATAGCATTCTCAGAAAAAGGAAATCTATTTTCAAAGAAAGATACATCTCTTGAGACATAAACTTCCTTCTTCTCCAAATCATACAACCTGTATCCCTTCACTCCTGATATGTAACCCAGGAATACACTAGCAATAGCTCTTTCATCAAACTTCCTTGTGTGTGGATTATTTCTCTTTCCAAAGCATAGACAGCCAAAAACTTTAAACATGTGATAGGTTGGTGCTGTGAAGTGAAGTAGCTCATATGGACTCTTCCATCCCAACTTTGCACTTGGCAAAGTGTTTATTATTTGGACTGCTGCCAGAAGACTGTAAGGCCAAAGATTTTTTTGCAGTTTTGCCTGAAATGAGATGGATCTTGCCACTTCCAATATTGATCTGTGTTTCCTTTCCACTACCCCATTCTGTTGTGGGGTATATGGACAGGATCTTTGATGTATAATTCCTTTGTCCCTCAATAGATTCATCATTGCTGCATTGACAAACTCAGTCCCATTCTTCACCTTTTCACTGAATTGTACC